CACCACTGAACTTTCTAGCACAGTTTGAGATACAGCTTCCTTGATGAGTAGTATGCATTCGGAAGAGTTTTTCTTTCTACAGTTACCCAAACATACCTTGTACACACACACACACACACACACACACACCTCACGAATGTTTGGAATCAGTGGCCCTCAACAGTGTTAAAATGTTGAAGAAGTCAAAGAATTATGCTTAAATGTGGTAAAAATGACAGTTTGATGGCAGAAAGGCATGAACAGTGATCCTAATTGACCACGCTTTTCTTCCTTGCAGATTCTGGGCCTATGTTAACACAACTCAGGCTGTTAAATAGTTCTAGCAAGGGCGGGGCAGCATGACGTCCTTGGAATTCTTCAGGCAACCTTCAAACCTGCTGCACCTGGCTATGGGCTACAGTTAATAACCCAGCAGGAGAGCGTGAAGACTAAGCTGATAATAAATGTCCACTAACGGAGCTTACCTCAGTGAAAGGGCTATATTCACAAGAACAAGGAAGTGTGCCTGGTAGGCCCCTGGGAGTGCCTATGTTCTTAATGAGGAGGGAGGAGTTAAATGTTGAATCCAGAAATAATTTCCACCACCTCCCCACACATATCCAGCAGGAAAATGCCATCCCAGCCAAACCCCTTCTTACGATAAACCACGTGTGATGTTTGCCCACCATTACTTTTTGCAAGACATCATCTATCACAAGAGCTGTATTTATTCCACCCAGTGGAGCAGGGGCAGGGCAGAAGGAGGAGAGTGGAAGAGTGAGCAAGAAAAGAGGCAAGGGTTTGCCAGTGTGTTTGTTTGTTGTTTATTTTTAATGGTTGTTTTATGCCCACCCTTGAAAAAAGTCTGTTGACTGTTGCTTTCATCAGCTGAGAGTTCACAATTAACTGCTCTCTTATCTGAAGAACTTTTAAGAGTAGAAGAAGCCCTGAAGTTCAACTCTCTGCCGTTGGCCACACCACCTCAGGCTCCAGCTCCAGAAACACTTAGACGCATAGAAGGTAAGACTTGGACACCCCTCAGAGAGGGTGTGACTCAATCTCCCCAGCTGACAACTTCTCAGTCTACACTCAGAAGACAAGTGTCCTCCCTAAAGCCAGGTGGGGACAGTCTTGTGTCAACGTTGAGGAAACCAGAAGTTACAGGCTTTGATCTCTCAAGCAGACTTCATTTATTCACACGTAAGTTGAAATCATATTTAAGAAAAACCCTCGTGAAATCCAAAATGCTCGGCCAGCCATTACTTTTCTTGGGAAAGGTAAGAATGGGGAGGTTAATCAACAATTAGGTCCAGATATAAACACAGATCCAGGTAGGGCAAAGGTCTCTTAAGATTAAACAGATTGGGGCCGCCCCCGTGGCTTAGCGGTTAAGTGCGCGCGCTCTGCTGCTGGCGGCCCGGGTTCGGATCCCGGGCGCGCACCGACGCACCACTTCTCTGGCCATGCTGAGGCCGCGTCCCACGTACAGCAACTAGAAGGATGTGCAGCTATGACAGACAACTATCTACTGGGGCTTTGGGGGAAAAAATAAATAAATAAAATTATTAAAAAAAAAGATTAAACAGATTGTGCATATTCCATTATCGTCATGATAAAATCCTTTCTTTGTGTAATGATCATTAATAAGAATCAACACTTATAAATAAAATAGGTTAACCATCTGAATAAGTAAACCATGTTTAATGAAGGAAATGTGTTTGTTCCCTTAAGTCATAAAACTTTTGTTTAGGAAATTGAATTTGCTCAAGTTGTACTATGAGCTCCGTCGCTTTGAATTAATTTAATCCAGCACATGTGTAGATTTTCTCGCTAGTCAGAAAATCTCAGATCCCTGGGTTTACTCTCCTCAGGCTTGTCTGGGTCTAGTAAATACACTGTCACTCTAGCAGTTTTAAATCCAAACAGATTAAAACTTTCATTTTTCCCCAACAGAGTCATAAATATTTTGAGTTAAATCTGATCCCAATGTCAGAGTAATCCAAGGGAAAAGTGCCAGGTTTTCCACAGTTTCTGAATGTTACTCTTCCTATCATATCAAAAAAGTTTGGGTCTGGGGCTGGCCTGGTGGCACAGTGGTTAAGTGCTCGAGCTCCTCTTCAGCACCCCAGGGGTTCACAGGTTCGGATCCCAGGCGTGCACCAACACATCGCCTGTCACGCCAGACTGTGGCAGCTTCTCATATAAAGTAAAGGAAGATGCGCACGGATGTTAGCCCAGGGCCAATCTTCCTCAGCAAAAAAAGAGGAGGATTGGCATCGGATGTTAGCTCAGGGCCGATCTTCCTCACCAAAAAATAAAAAAAAGTTTGGGTCTAACTAAATTGTACAAAATAGGTACATGTTAAACATGTAACTGAATCCTATTTCAGATTGTAGCAGGGATACTTGCTATCTGGAGAAGCATCCTGAAGTAAAACAAAGTATTATACCTAATTTTACTGTTTTTATATTTTTTATTGATTTTTTGTCGCTATTAAATTGGGGTCTGTGTTAATATTGTATTTCATTCTTTCCACCCTTTCCTTTGTATAAATAGGCTCCAATACTGAGTGGCTACCATGCAAATAAGAACACCTTATCTGGGGGTAACATTTTAGAGTTTACACAGACTGTCTCATTGGATCATCAGAATATCTTGTTTGGTGGGTTTTCCTCCCATTTTACAGATGAAGAAACTGAGGGTCTGAGATGTTATGAGACTTGTTGAAGATAACCAGCTAGTTAAGTGATAAAGTTGGGGTGCAAAGCCAGGTTTTCTGAAGCCAAATCACCTGTCCTTCCAGCACTCACGACGTCACCTTTGGGAACTGAGCTTCTCTCCTCCACCGGAGGCTCTAATTGTTGATGCGGTCAACGCAAGCATGTTGAAAAGTTTGGGATTTCTGCTCGCATTTTTGCTATGGCAGAGGCATGTGCCTCTAGCAGCGGCTTAGGAAATGACATTTTAACTCTCTGATCTACATTCCTGAAAAACATTTTCTTCTTGCAGGGAGATATTTGGGCCATTACCTGGTTAACATTTGCAAATTGCTGCAGGAAATTCATTAGCTTGAAAGGAACATGATTACAGCTGTCACACTTGGAAACAAAAGGTGAGGCGTTAATTATTAACAAGCGATCACCCAAAAGATACAACACAGAATTACTAACAGAGCTGTTAGGACTGTTAGGACAGAAGGAACAGAGTCCATTTAAGGCATCTCGGGAGCATAAAAAGACACTGCTCCTGCCCTGAGCATTCACAACACCCCTATAAGAGCCCAGTGGGAAAGAACCACTTGCTATTCTCATTTAGTTATGATGCTCATTCTTATTAAAATGTATTGAGCCATTCTAAAGCCTATGAGGGGCCAGTTTCATGCTTGGTCAAGGCACCGGCATTTGCAATCCAATAAATTCAACCATTCTTTATTGAGCACCCATGGTGGGCAAGGCTCAAAGCTACAGTCTTGGGGGCCTGGTAAGGAGCAGGATGCTGAGCTGCCCCTAGGACTGCAGTCATTCATTGGGGAGGATCACGATGACACACAAATCCCTATACTGCAAGCCAGAATGGACCTCTCCGAAGACCTGGGTGGCTTCGAGAAAAGAAGAAAAAATATCTGGAAAGCTGACTAGGAGTGAGGAGCAAAATTAACTAACATTTCCTGAGCACTAAGTACAGAGCACTGTGCCAAGTGTTCAGTGTTATTTAACTGAATCTTCGTAACACAGCAACTTGATGAGTTGGGTTATGATGTCCATTTCACAGGTCAGAAGACTGAGGCTTGGTGGGCTAACTTGCCCAGAGTCACACTGGTAAGTGGCAGAGCCAGAGTCACACCTAGGGGGGCCTGCTTCCAGGCCCCATCCTCTCAACCTCTCTGCTCTACCTCTGAAGAAGAAGGGCATTTGGAATCACCCCAAGGAATGGTGGATAGAAACAAGGAAACGGAGGGCAAATCCTTTCAGGCAGTAGGAATTTAGGAAGAGCCAAGGGAAATTACAGGTTGGTGTCTATTATGAAGAATCTTATATGTCAGGCTTGGGAGTCTGTGCTTAAGTCGGTCAATAATAGGAGCCTTTGTATATCAAACCATCTCTCCTCAGTAAATTGGGATTCATGGGGTTCAACTAGAACCCCAGGTTTTTCTAAGAACATTTAACACATAAATAAATACAGGAACAAAAGATTTACTCTACTATGACCAGACTGAAACAAATGTAAACTCAGTAACATAAATAAATTGATAACCAACCATAAGCCATTTTATTTGTCATCAACAAGATGTCATCAACAGATTAAAACAAAAATGTCACAAAAGGACAAAGGCACACACACACATACACACACACACACATACATCTACTGAGAGTGAACAATAACCATCCCAGGCTTTCCAAAGCATATCACTTTACACACTGCATGTAATTACACAAGGCATTAATTTTTATTTTAAAAGAGCATTTTTGCATGTGCTTTATGATTATAAAGGTAATACATGTTTACTGCAGAAAACTTGCAAAATGCAGAAAAACACAAATATGTGTCTACCTTATTTACAACCCTATCTGCTGGCTATCCTGTACAGCTGCTATTTTTCTCCTTATAAAACACTCTAGTGTTTATTACAACGTGTGAAGCATTCCCTCAATTAATTACTCTATTGACTGGAATTCCAAAGGATTCTGTTCACACCGATTACCAGTACTGGTCACACCTGTTAGATTCTCAGCTTCCTTCCTTGTCTTTTCCTCTCCTCTCTCCCCTCCTTTTAAGAAAGACCCATCTCATGAGCAGCCTGAGAGCAGGGACCAAGTTCTATGCGTATCTCCACCTTGAGCACTCAGCATGTGTGCTACTCTCCCAAGCCTCAGAAATTAAAAATAAAAGATAGGTGACAGAGATGAACTTAAGAAGGAAAAAGCTGGAAAATAAGCATTGAATCTACATATACTTTAAATGTTTTAAAGAAAGCATGTACCTTCTCATCAAATTTGTGTGGGGAGGAAATGGGCTATGTGAAAGCAAGTTAGAATTTTACTTTGGCTGTAATTACACAATTCTACGGTATTATTTTTGCCATCAATTGCTCTCCAAACATCCCCTTTTCTATCACAATCACAAGAGGCAAGCAGAAGCATTTGAAGAGTTAAAAGAGGGGGAATAGCAGCCCCCCAGCAATGTGCTCCCGGGGAATCATTTGCCTGCTGCTCTGTTTACAGAATTTTATTTGCGTACAAGAACTGCAGGAGCTCTGGATGGTAGTGGCTCTGAAAGAAATTAGCAAAGGTATACATGAGGCAGGGCTTCGATAAACCTCCTTGACTATAGAACAAGTAGACAGTGTCAAATGCAGAGCATGAGGACAAGCAATCTTCAGATTCTCAGAGGTGGAGGCATCATTGCCTGCGTTCATCTAATGATCTGAACACAACTGCCAATATATTGTGTGCACAATCCTCCAGGCGTTTTGCCATTTACATTGCATTATGGGTCAATTACAATTGAAACATAATTGGCCTGAGTCATTTTACGGGGAGTCACTCCCTGGTCAGCCTGCCACCTTCTGCATTACCACCAGGAGGGCAGGGACCTCTGGGAGAATTCTCTCTTATCCTCGCTCACTCACCAGCTGCCGGCAGAGTTTAGGGTTCCTTTGATCTTCTTCACTCTGGAAGCTGTATTCCTTCCTTCGTCTCAGATATGGAGAACAGGCTCGAAAAGCTGTTTTGCAAGCCTGAGAAATATAATATTACCATCTTATTGTCAAAGATATTAGAGAGTTCTGTAATCCCAAGCAAGGAAGAGGTTTGCACCCAATCTGTGGTCTGGGGGCCACTAAGAGTGTGAAAATCACTTCCAGGAAGTTTGAAAACTTGAACCTTAAAGGATTTATGTTTATAAAATGACCGTGTCTATAATTTGGGGCTGGTAGGGAGGGCATAGCTTTATAGTTCACCAAAGCCCTTGTTATCATCCCATCAAAAGTAGTGGATTCCTAAATTCAATCTCTCTCTCTCTCTCATGTGCACTAACTTAAAGAAGACAAGTGGTTTGATGGAACTCTTTGCTCCCAGTGGTTTTGAAACACTCTCCCACTCCAAAGCAAGCCTGAGGTTGATCCAACCCCGTTAGGACATATTTTCTTCAAGAATAAAACAAAAGCTCTATAGGGAATCGAGAAGCCAGGGGCTGCAAATCTATACTAGGCACAGTGACAAAAGCTAATTGGCATGAATAAATATCCTCATTATGTGGGCTGCTGCCCTACAGATTAAGCCTGCACCTCTCTGCCCCCATTAACCTGAGCTTACCTAGTATTGACAGGTGCTGGGATTGGGCAGGTAGGGCAGGAGTAAATGGAAAAGAACACCCTTGCTAGGAGAGAGGTTACACAAGGAGGCACCTTTTCCAGATTTCACACGGATACACAGCTAAGTGTCCATAACTGAACTGGCAGGAGCTGAGGGTCTGGCATCTCAACTCAACATGGCCGCATCACTACTCCCTTTATGAATGGCATAGGGATTTCATGCAGTGGGTTGGAGAGTCACAGACTTACCTTGGCAACCTGGGGATTTCTATCCTGTAAATGGATCAGGAGGGAATCTTGAGTCTGCTTAACCTGACTGGTGAAAAATTTCTTCCATTTCCGCCCAGCGAAGGCAGCCAATTGCCCAAACAAGACAAAGGCCGAGTATCTCAGACTGTCATTCTCCTGTGCGTCCCCCATGAACAAAACAACAAAACCCAGGTCATTCTCCTGTGTGTCCCCCAGGAACAAAACAACAAAACCACAAGGCAACAGCATCAGAGAACATCACAGCCATCCGTTCTTTGTGGGATCTTACAGGGTGGCCATCAGATCCCATCTAAAGCACTTAGCTGGCTGGGGTGGAGGAGATGGGCTGAGTCCTCAATGAACACCTTCTCCAGTGGACAGGAGGGTTAGACTAGGGGATCACTAGTGCTACTCCCAGCTTCCTAGCTTTTTCTTCATTACTTAGTATTTTTAAGATCAAATACATTTATATGGTGCAAAATTCAAAATAACCAAAAAAGGTTACTTTAAAAGTTAGTCTCCGGGCCGGCCCTGTGGCTTAGCGGTTAAGTGCGTGCTCTCTGCTGCTGGCGGCCCAGGTTCGGATCCCGGGCGCGCACCAACACACCGCTTCTCCAGCCATGCTGAGGCCACGTCCCACATACAGCAACTAGAAGGATGTGCAGCTATGACGTACAACTATCTACTGGGGTTTTGGGGGGGAAAAAATAAAAATAAATAAAAAAATCTTTAAAAAAAAAAAAAAATTAGTCTCCTTCCTACTCCTGTCCACTTGCCACCAAATTTCCCTCCCCACAAGCTAGCAAAGTTATGTTTTGTGTGTATCCCTCCACAAAATTAAGAAGAAAAAAGAAAAAGCTATATATTACATAGTCCTTTCCCACATTTTTACACAAATAGAAGTATACCATATCACTGTTACGCATCTTGATTTTTCCACCAAACAATCTATCTGGGAGCTCTTTCCATGTCAATACATAAATTTTCTTTCTTTCTTTCTTTCTTTTTTTTTTTTTTTGGCTGCATCATTGGACCTGTCCCCTGTTTACTACTCCCAGCACTTTTGCCAGGTCATCTCTCTTTACTTTTGGTCTGCATTTCTCCAATCTTTAGTAGATATAACAATTATGTTTCTTCCTGACCCCCGCCAGCTCTCCCTGGTTTGCCCCTGAAGGCATGTCATGAGTTCAGTCCTTCCTCCTTCTCCAAGGTGAGCTGTCTGTCCAAGTAGCTTCCTTTCCAGGTGAGGAGACTGAGACCCAGGGCACATCAGTGACTTGCTCAGAGTCATACCATCAGGTAACAGAGAACCAGGCTAGTCATCTCGCCTCCTGACTCTCAGTGCAGGGACTTTCATATCAGTGTTTCCTGGTCCTGTCCAGCTCTAGGTGAACTAGAGGGAACAAGGCTAGGACACACCTCCTCAGGGGCAAGGAGCACCTAGAACTGGGGCTCACAGACACTCAGTAAGACTAAAGACCACGATCATTTTGCGAAGCATTTTAAAATATTGTTTTAGCACATGTGACACATACAACAATTGCTCTAGCGTTATACTTTTTTTTACTGTTCTACCTGTGTGTGTGTGTGTGTGTGTGTGTGTGTTTAATTTGACTACCATGTACTGAGACCTGAGTCTATCCAAAGCACTACCCTAACACTATGAGATGTACAGAGTTGCGTTAAGACGGGTACCTGTCCCCAAGGAGTCTGACAATCATCCAGTGGGGGACACGTGCACAAGCGAGCACGCCATAAGGCAGGTAGTGAAGAGTCTATCCTAGTGACACACACTGCCAGGAAACAACACTCCATCACTCTTTCCAGGTTTCTACACCACCGGGGCTTTCTGATCAAAACTTACGGTCAACCTGGGTTTAAAAAATGATTGCATGGCAAACAAGCGCAGGAAATTAAGACAGCACCTTCAAAGAGATATCTGCTTACATTCCAGGGAGGTGAAGTAGAGACCTTCCTCTCCCCTCCCCAGAGAGGACTGGTTTACATTCCAGAGCAAGGGTCTCTTTGTCTCTCTGAGAGGGAGGAGAGGCAAACGTGCCAGCAGCTCCTGTAAAAGCTCCAGGTTTCATCATTTAAAGATTTTTCTTCCTCCCATGTGGTGCAAGCACATCCAGCTCTCCCTGTGCTACTCCATGGGGAGTTAGGTGTGGGGAACTCATGCAAGATGCTCTGTGAGTAAATAAAAGGTCTGTTCTTTGTTCTACAAGTCTTGTCTTTCTGTCAGAGAGTGCATGTGCGTATGTGCATAACTGTGTGTGTAATCAGTTGGCCTGCAAGGAAGGTATCTCAGAGTCCTCAGTTTCAGACTAAACAATGTTATCAGTGCACTTTCTGAATAGCCTGCCTTGTCGCCTGGCAGTTAAGAGTGCAGGCCCTGTCGTCAGAGGGCCTGGTTTCATACCGACTTACTGGCTCTGTGAACCTTGGGCAAATTGTCTAACCTTTCTGTGCCTTGGTTTCCTCATCCATAAAGGAAAAAAAATAATAGTGCCTATCTCACAGGATTATTGTGAGGATTATATGAGATAATCCATGTAAATTGCCTAGCACCAGGCCTGGCACTCAGTAAGGGCTCATTAGATGCTAACTATTGTTATTGTTACATTTATGAGACAGCATTGAATACATGTTGGTATTGTCATCATCAGCAGCAGCAGCATCACCATCATTATCATCATCACCATCACCATCATCACCGTCACCATCATCATCACTATGATCACCATAGTCATCATCAGTGTACATATATTCACTTCTCTATTACAAGGAAAACTCCTTGAGGGGAAACGATGGAATCCTACACTTCTTTATATGTCTTCCACAACCCCCAGCACAGTACTAGTCTCCCAATAAGATTTGTTAATAAATAAGTGAATAATAGAGATCTTGTTCCCTGAGGAATACACCACCCAGGGCTCACATTTCTAATCCCACCTTGATTTCAGTAACCCTGAAGTTTTCTGAGTTGTCTCACTTACATCATCTAATAAAGTCCTGGTCTGAAGAGTGATGTCTATGAAGAAGGAGCCCAAACCTTTCCCCTGGATCTTGCCCAGGATGATGGTCAGAGTCTTCATACTCTCATGGATGACTTCAGAACTCACAGGGTCATACAATCCATGTACCAGCAGGTCTAGGACAATTTTCTTATACTTTCTCACCTGTTAGCAAGGTTGACAAGCATTAGCAGCACAGAAATTGCGCCCCATGAGTTAAAAAGCAACTCTACTTCTAATCTTCCAATAACCTAGGACTTGGACTACGAGACCATGGCTTTCTTCAGGATCTGCCACAACAAATCTCATCAAAATACAAATGCTTCCATTAACCTGACCAAAGAGTCCCACTCAGTCTTGGAAGGAGAACAGAAAGGGCAATCTGGAGTATGGCCTATGGGTAGATAAGGCTAGGTAGGGCACATCAAGGAGGGTGGTGGACCTGGATGATGTATGGATCTGGGGCATACTGGGGTACCTTTATAGGGGACAAGAGGAAATGGTCACTGAACTTGACAGATGCTAAAGAAGTAGGTGGGGGAAACATCTTTTACAAAACAAGCGTAGCTTATTAGAAAATAAATTAAAGTCATCAAAGAGAGTGATAGCCAGTTGTGTGTTAATCCTGCCTGAAGTTTTGTTTCCCAAGGCTGATCAAACTGAGATGGGATGACCCTAAGATGACCCCAAATGAGTCACGCCCTTGTACAATCGCCTTCCCTTGAGCCTGGGAGGAACCAGTGACTTGCTCCTAGCCTATCGAATATGACAACGGTGATGGGATGTCACTCCCATGGTCACATTACATTATATAGACTCTATCTTAGTAGACAGGAGTGGGAGACACTCTCCTGTGGGCCTTGAAGAAGTAAGCTGCCATGTATGAGATGGTACCTCTACGAACTGAGGGTGAACAGCCAACAAGAAAACAAGGACCTTGGTCCCACAACTGGAAGGAACTGAATTCTTTCAACCACCACATAAGCTTGGAAGGGGACCCCAAGCTTCAGAAAGGAGTACAATCTGGCCCACACCTTGATTGCAGCCTTGTGAGACCCTGAGCAGAAGACCAGCTAAGCCCAACCTGGACTCCTGACTCAAGGAAACTGCAAGATGATAAATGCTAGGTCTATGGTAATTTGTTATGCAGTGATAGGTGACTAGCACATGAGGTACCATATCCAGTCCTGGGGACTCCAGGCCATGAGAGTTGACCGAGTGCCACCTTCCCTTCTTACCTTGTCCGGGGTCTCACAGGCCATGGTTCCCAGGCCTCTCATTGCCATGTGCCGTTTTTTAGCACTGGGGTCACGGGCTTTTTCTGCCAAGATGAAAAACACATTCTTCAGAGGCTCCCGTTTCTGGAACCTCAGTTTCCAAGAGACCTGAATAGTGAGTGAAAAATATATTAATTTGGGAGTGTTCAGAGTCACAACCAACTCCAATCCCAACCCCAACCACTCCCTCTAAAGAGAATCCTGTGTTGCCTGATCAATCTTACCCCTTCTTTTGCCACCTAAAGACATCTGATTTTTGCTAGAAATATATGTTTGATCTACATACTGAAGAAATTGATGGAGGAAGAGGAAAGGGGTAAAGAAAAATTATGCAGGGCTGGTGTGGAGGTAGGTTTGGGGAGATTATGGAAAGAGTGCTCTAGGGCAGCTGTGGCTGTGATAGAACTGAGAAGAAAGGGGGCTTTAGAAGTGTTGGTGTGGGGCCGGCCCCATGGCGTAGTGGTTAAGTGCACGTGCTCCACTGCTGGCGGCCTGGGTTCGGATCCCTGGCACACACCGAGGCACCGCTTGTCAGGCCATGCTGTGGCGGTGTCCCACATAAAGTGGAGGAAGATCGGCCAGATGTTAGCTCAGGGCCAGTCTTCCTCAGCAAAAAGAGGAGGACTGGGAGATGTTAGCTCAGGGCTGATCTTCCTCACAAAAAAATAAATAAATAAAGAAGTGTTGGTGTGAGTTGAGAATGGGGATCCCTTTCACAGGACAAGGGACACTGTGTTCTTCCCATCTCAAAGAAGAGTCCCTTGACCCTTCTTCTTCCTCTAGCTCTTCTCCACTTTTCTACTCTACTTTGTAGCTATACATCTTGAAAGACATATCTATACTTGCTTTCTCCAATTCCTCTGCTCTATTCTCTCTTGAACCCTCTGCAATCAGGTTGATGTCCCCTCCACCCCTCCTGTCCAATGTGGCTAAATCCAAGGGTCAATTCTCAGTACTCATCTTCCTCAACCTCTCAAGAGCATTTGACACATTAGCAAAGCACATCTACAAAAATTTCAGGGCACCTTAAGGATATCCCACCCCAGAATGCATGCATCTGAGCTATAAAGATCAGGAAAAGAAATGCATAAATAATGCAAACTGGAAAACACTGTGTGGCTGATGCAGACACCTGTATTTCAAGGACTAAAGTCTAAGTATCTGCAGGGCAAGAGATGGGTTACCCTCTGTAGGGAGCACAGGAGCCCTGATACCAGGAAGGCGCCGGTGTTCTGCACATCACAGGACATGGCAACATGTGCTGGAGTCAGAACCAAGACGATGCAAGATCCAGACAAGAACCAAGAAAAAGCCACCTCCCCACCATCCTTCACAGTGGCAGGGCTGGAGATGGGATCCACAGACCTATTTGGTGTTTTGGTGATTATCAAGCCTCATTATTATTATTCATCACAGTTTGTTATATATTTTATTATTAAGTTAGCAGCAAGTTAAATTCTCAACTCATCTTCTTGTTATCCTAAAAACACTCTATCCATGTTTAAAGAACTGCCATCAAACTTTTTGCAGAAAAAGAAACCTCAGTGCAGCGGGCCTAACTAACGCAGACCAGGCAAGCACACATGTTACAAAGCAGCTGCTAGGAAGGGTCATTTGTTCATAATAGTTGTGTCAGACCTTGGAAAAGAAAGACATCATTGATGTCCTTTTCTTCTTGGGCTGGGCGGTGAGGATGGAAAGGGGCTGGTCCAGGATTCTCCTCTGTGTTTGATCCATGGAACTAAAAATAACAAAATCATCATGTCAGCCACAAACACTCTTTTGAAGCCTCCTCATCAAGGAGCATCATCAAGAAAGCACTGTGCCAGGGGAAGGATATAAAGAAGCAACATCTCTCGGCCTGTCCTTAGGAACCTGTCACCTTGGTGAGGAGGTGCAACAGTCACATCAGAAGATAAAGGGCAATTCAAGGCAGCCTGAGAGGAATCATTGGGGTCAAGATGGTTCTGCCCCCTGGTTCCCATTCCACCCTACAGCCTTCTTGTATCAGAATCACCAAAGAAATAAACTAGAGATTCTGGACCCCACCCACAGAGATTCTAATGAGTTGAAGCAAAAAGTAGTCTGAAATTTTGTGGGTTTTTTTTTTGTTTTTTGCGGGGGGTCTTCCAGCGAGGACCGGAAAACCTGCTAGACAAATTCTAAGAGAGCTATAACACTAAATTTTGTGTTTTTTAAAGCTCCACGAGAATGTAAATTGGCACTGCATTTTAGAGAGGATTTTGATATTATCTTACAATTTTAAAAAGCACATATACATATATATCCTTTATATACATAAAGGATAGGCACTATAGCCTTGTAATGAACAACCTAATGTCCTTTAATAGTTGTAATACAAATAAATTATACACGTATATTACAACTACACAACTAGAGGATGACTATTATGCAGTCAGTAAAACGAATATTGGGCAGATCAACATTTGCTAAAATAATCTCCAAAATATACTGTTAAGTGAAAAGTACAAATCAGTATGTAAGTATGATACGATCTGTATAAAAACAAAATGAGGGATGGAATCTATATGTGCATATGTGCGTGCATATGCATAGAACAGGGAAGAATACCCAAGAAACTAACAAAGATCGCCTCTGGGGTAGAATCTGAGCAACTGATGTGGGAGGGAGACTTACTTTTTTCACTCTTTTTTTATATATATACAGTTTGTAATTTTACCACGTGTATATATTATTTTAAATGTATATTATAAATAAATGTAGCTCGCAAAGGGATTCTGACTACAGCCTGATTTGAGACCCACTAGTGTAAACCAGGCCTTCCCAGACATCAGTGTGCACTCGAATCATCGGAGGATCTTGTTAAAATGCAGGTTTGGACTCAGAGGAGCTGGGGTGGGGGCTCTAGAGTCTGCCTTTCTTGTAAGCTCCCAGGGTTGCCAATGCGGCCAGTCCGAGGACCACACTTTGAGGGCGGGGGTGTAAAGTTAAGTGCGACAGGAGTCAAGAGAGGCCTGTGGCTGGGAAGGCTGGTAGGGACCTGCTTTAAAGGAGAGGGGGAAGCATATCTGACACGTTGGGGTTCCAGTGGGATTCCATGTGGGTGGTATCATGGTCTGGTAGTAATAACGATTACAATTTAAGAGAGTGGTAAAAGATATAGCTACAGGAAGTAGTAAAAGGCCAATGGTGAAGGACTTTGACTGCTAAATTGTTTAGTTTCAATTCTATTTTGTAGATAAGAATGAACCACTGATTTTTTTTATTGAGGTAAAAGCCACATACCACACAATTAACTATCTTAACAATGCTGTGCAACCACCACCTCTATCCAGTCCCAAAACTTTTTCATCACCCCCAAGGAAAATCCCATAAATCCCATACCCATTAAGAAGTCACTCCCCATTCTGCCCTCCCCCCCAGCCCCTGGCAACCATTAATCTACTTTCTGTCTCTATGGATTTACCTGTTCTGGATATTTTATATAAATGGAATCATATAATGTTGTGATCTTTTGTATCTGGATTCTTTCTCTTGGCATAATGTTTTTGAGGTTCATCCATGTTGTAGCATGTATTGGTACTTCATTCCTTTTTATGGCTGGATGATATTCCATTATATGGATATGCCACATTTGTTTATCCATTCATCCGCTGTTAGACACTTGGGTTGTTTTCACCTTCTGGTTATCATGAATAGTGCTGCTATGAACACTGGTGTACAAGTACTCGTTTGAGTATCTGCTTGCATTTCTTTTGGGTATATACATAGGAGTGGAATTCCTGAGTCATTTGATAACTCGATGTTTAACTTTTTGAAGACCCACCAAACTGTTTTTCACAGTGGCTGCACCATTTTACATTTCTATCAGCAATATGCAAGGGTTCCAATTTCGGCACATCACCAACATTTATTTTCCATTTTTTAAAATTTGTTATTATTATAACCATCCTAGTGGGTGTGAAGTTGTATGTCACTGTGGTTTTGATTTGCACTTCCCTAATAACTAACGGCATCTTTTTGTGGGCTTGTTGGTGATTTGTATATCTCTTTTGGAGAAATGTCTATTCAAATCCTTCGCCCATTTTCAAATTGGGTTGTTTGTCTTTTTGTTTTTGAGTCTTAGAGTTCCTTACATATTCTGGATACTAGACCCTTATCAGATATATGACTTACAAATATTCTTTCCTATTCTGTAGGCTGCCTTTTCACTTTCTTGATAATGTCTTTCATGCACAATAGTTTTTAATTTTGACAAAATCTAAGTTATCTATTTTCACTGTTGTTGTTGTTGCTAATGCTTAGGGTTAGATCTAAGAATCCATTGCTAAATCCAAGTCATGAAGATTTACCCCTATGTTTTCTTCTAAGAGTTTTATAATTTTAGCTCTTATTTGGGTCATTGATCCATTTGAAGTCAATTTTTCTATATGGTGTGTGGTTGGGGTCCAACTTCACCAGAACAATTTACTTTTATTTGTTTGGGTTTAAAAATTTGTTTTTTTTTTTTGGTGAGGAAGACCAGCCTTGAGCTAACATCTGTGCCAATCTTCCTCTATTTTGTATGTGGGTCACTGCCACAGCACGGCTTGATGAATGGCGTAGGTCCGCACCTGGGATGCGAACCCGCAAAGCTAGGCTGCCGAAGTGGAGTGCACCAAACTCAGCCACTATGTCACCAGGCCAGCCCCTGAAACTTTTTTAGCAGGAGAAATGACAGACAACCAGCTGTAGCAGTTCTCAGCCCTGGATGCATCAGAATCACTTGAGGAACTTATAATCTTCTTAACACCCTGGCTACACCCCAGACCAAGTCTGTCCTCATCTCTGAGGCACGCCCAGGCAGCAGTAACTTTTTTTTTTGGTGAGGAAGATTAGCCCTGAGCTAACATCTGCTGCCAATCTTCCTCTTTTTGCTGAGGAAGACTGGCCCTGGGCTAACATCCACGCCCATCTTCCTGTACTTTATATGTGGGACGCCACCACAGCATGGCTTGATAGTGGTGTGTGGGTCTGTGCCCGGGATCCAAACCAGGGAACCCCAGGCCGCCAAAGCAAAGCGCACGAACTTAACCACTATGCCACCACGCCAGCCCCAGGCAGCAGTAATTTTTAAAGCTCGCCAAGTAATTCCAGTGGGCAGTCACTGAACTAGGGTGACTAGTGACCAACCACATTGGTTTGCCCGGGCTGAGGGGTTTCCCAGAACATGGGACTTTAGGTGCTAAGACTGGGAAAGCCATGGGCAAACTGGGACAAGCTGGCCACCCTATAGATTATTCTTGAGTCTCGAAATTACTTACATGCAGGTAGCTGACAGAACCCAGCCCCGTCAAACAGCTGTGCTTTGGAACATTGGACTCTATTGGACCTGGAGGTGCATGGCGCTTTGATTTCTCCACCATTTTTGCCCCCCTGCTGGTTTCAGTAATGCTCTCTTGGTCCAGAAGACACTGGAGGGGCCCATGAAAACACTTCCCCATCCCCGAGTCTCTAGTCCATCTTCATCTCTGGCCAGCAGACCTCCCCTCACCACTGCAATGAGGGACCCAAATAGAAACCCAGAAAATTGCAGCCCCACCAATTAGCAAGCCTTTCCTTATTTGGGTAAAGGCATTCTCATAGGCTTCACATTAAGCTAGTGGTTCTCACACTTGAGCTTGTATCATAATCACCTGGAGGGCTTGTTAAAACACAGATTCCCAGACCCAGTCTTCAGTCTCTGACTCTGCACATCTGAAGCAGCGCCCAATAATTTGCATTTCTAACAAGCCCCCAGGTGGTACTGGGTGCTGCTGGTCTGCAGACCACACTTCGAGAACCACTGCATTAAAAGAAGAAACCACAGTATTACTATTGCATTCATCTCCAGAATAAAGGGATTTAAAAATTCACGCTGAGGCAAAAAACATGCTTGGTGGTTTCTTCCTGGGGGTTTTCTGCACACAGTCTTCTGTTTCAATAGAACCTGGCACTCCTCAGGTGGAGTGCTCTGGATCAGAGCTAATGGGTGCCTGACAACGGGTCTGAAGAGCTTAAAAGAAGCAAAGCTCCCTCAAGCTGGGGCCACTCACCGAGGAGGGTACAGGCCTCATTATGAAACAGCTGACCTCTCTGTGCCGAGGCATAAGAAAATCGTGCTGGAAGCTTCTCTCCATTGGGAGGAAAGTAAACCTGGTCTTTAAAAGTGTTTAAAATGGACTTCTCCTGCAGAATTAGCATAGCGGCTAAGGGCTTTAGCCAGCTAAGGAAGCTTCCCCAGGCTTCAGAAGCCAAGCATCAAGCCTTGTCACTTCTTAACAGACACATCTAGAATTTAAGGTCATGGGTGGCTCTCAAGCAGAGCAAAGGAGAGCTGAGCCCTCTGCGTGGAAGATTCAGCACATGGTTAGAGAGAGACATACAGCTCCACCTCTGCTAGCTGACCCTTCCCTACCTCCCCATCACAAGATAAAAACTGGTCTAGTTCAACCTCACAGGTCATCAGGGCTCATCTCCACCTTTGGTGCAGGGAAAGCAAAGCATTTCTCCCAGTGTTGGCTGGGCCTCCTACATCAGAATCCCGCAGAGTGCTTGTTGTAAAGTCCAGGCCTACCCCATAACTATTGGATCTGAATCAAGGGAGCATAAGGCCTGAGCACTGCATTTTTTTTTTTTACAAGGTGCCTGGTGATGCCACACACACACACTGGTATATAAGAACCGCCAGTGGAAATTAAATAACTCCAGAATTGGCATACTCCACTAACCTGAGGCCACGCATCAGGAGAGACCCCAGAAGTCAGAGGAGCAGCTGGGGCAGAAAGGGAAGAAGGGGGAAGTGTCAGCTTCTTTGCAGAGAACAAAGCATTGATGGCACATGTTTGTGAAGCACATTGAATTTCACTTTCAAAGTAAAATTAAAATCACTTTGAGCTATACATGCTAGGATCTGTGCACTTTTCTTAGATGCTATTCTTTTTTCTTTTGGTGAGGAAGATTAGCCCTGAGCTAACATCCAATGCCAATCCTCCTCTTTTTGCTGAGGAAGGCTGGCCCTGGGCTAACATCCGTGCCCATCTTCCTCCACTTTATATGGGACACAGCCACAGCATGGCCTGACAAGCGGTGCGTTGGTTCGCACCTGGGATCTGAACCTGTGAACCCCAGGCCGCCAAAGCGGAGCGCACGCACTTAACCGCTATGCCACCGGGCTGGCCCCTCTTAGATGCTATTCTCAAATTAAAAGTTTCCTTAAAGAATAAAACAAAATAAAAGTTAATTTGGGGTCTCAAAGCCCCTCATCTGGGCTCTGTATTTCTTGAGCTTGCAGCTTCTTAAAGGGCTCCCACCACCAACCTGCCCTCCTTCCTGCCCGCAGTGTCCTCCCTCCTTTGTTCTGACAAATTAAGTCCTTTGGACCCAGTCCAATCAAACAAAAGGATAATTTCCATCTGTTGCCATACAGGATCTCAGAAAGGAACATTTTAAACAAATTACGAATAAACTTAGGACACAGTTTCAAAGGTTTGTTATGTGTTCTAACTCCACCCACCAGCCTGCTCAAGCCCAAACGGCCCTTGGCAACGAGTGAGGTTTTTCTGGTGGGTTGCTCTGGTCATCACAGGCACCTAGTCCAGTGTGAGTGAGGCCAGGAGGCCACCTGGCCCTCTTGAAGCCAAAGGCACAGCTCTGCTTGTAGTTTCATTCATCCCCGCGCACATTCTTCAATAAATTCTTCTTCCGTTGGGGAGTGCTTCCTGTGTGTGCTGATGCCCTGTGCCCCGGGTTCCACCCTCCGCTAGATCCTGGAGCTTGGCTTCATTGTCACCTTGTGCTTCTATCTGCTCTTCCCGACATACACGGGTCTGGGGTGACTTAGAAGACTTTATGCTGACTCCTAGATGCCTTTGCAAATTTAAATCCTTCTGACTCAAAATATTAGGTTTATGGTCAATAATCCTTTTATTTATGGAAACCAAGAGGTGCACTATGAAGGCCAAAATTACAAAACACTTTGATCCTCTCTCCTCATTTGTAAAATGAGGGGAAGAAACTGTTAGATTTCTAACAATCCTTCCAACACTGAACTTATTAATGATAATAATAATATTAATAGCTACCATCAGCTGGACATATGCATGCTAGGCACTATGTTAAGTGCTTTGTGTACGCTGCAGGAGAAGCTGCTTTAGCTGATCTCTGCTTACCCAGCCTGCCAGGTTAACAGTGATTGTCCAGGCGCTCGGTAAACTGTACCAACCAATGCTTGTCGCTGATAGTGCTCGCTCCTAACTTCTGTCCCACTGGTCCTTATATGCTTACATGACACCTGCACTTGTTATTGTAACTGTGAAATTTAATTAAACACCATATAAACTGATGAAATATGAGTATACAAAGAAAGGAAGTTGTTTCTATGAAAGTAAGTTTGAACGTTTTGGAAACACTTGAAAACAGGAATCTGCTAAAAAATTGTTATCTAGTCAGTATGGACAGTAACAATTTGGAAACAGTCTTAATAATCTGGAATGATGATTGGAATTGGAATGATTCTGTAGAAAGTGACTTTAAAGTGTCTTCCCAAGTGTCTTTAAGTTCTCACTACATTGAAAGAAACCCAAACTAGAACTCATAGATGAAGTATTATGCGTGTGGCTTATGCAAAAAAGACAACTCAGAAAACATCAACTAGGGGCCGGCCCGGTGGCGTAGTGGTTATGTTCGTGCCCTCTGCTTTGGCGGCGTGGGGTTCACAGGTTTGGATCCCAGGTGCAGACCTACGCACCGCTTATCAAACCATGCTGTGGCAGCTGCTCCCACATATAAAGTAGAGGAAGATGGGCATGGATGTCAGCTCAGGGCCAATCTTCCTCAGCAAAAACAGGAGGATTGGCAACAGATTAGCTCAGGGCTAATCTTCCTCACACACACAAAAATATCAACTGTGGATCCATATTCAAAGAAAAGGCCATGGCCCTACATTAAAGATTGGGAAATTCTATATTTTAAGATAAAATAATATTTTTGAGGTATGTATCATCTTTTATAATTCTGCTTTAACCAACTTCTCCCATTAAGTCTCTAAAATACAGTCCCAATCTCTCAAATAAGAGGGATTTTTCTGTATTTCATTTAATCTTCACAATAATCTTGAGAGGTAGGTTTAATTATGCTCATTTTATTTATTTATGTTTTGTGTGTGTGAGGAAGATCAGCCCTGAGCTAACATCTGCCATTCCTCCTCTTATTTTGCTGAGGAAGACTGGCCCTGGGCTAACATCCATGCCCATCTTCCTCCACTTTATATGGGATGCTGCCACAGCATGGCTTGACAAGCAGTTTGTCAGTGCACACTCGGGATCCGAACCGGCGAAACCCCGGGCCTCCGCAGCAGAGCGCTCACACTTAACGGCTTGTGCCACCAGGCCGGCCCCTAATTATGCCCATTTTAGAGAAGGGGAACTGGGGCTCAGAGTAATGTAAACAATTCACCCAAATTCAAATAGCTAGTAGTGGCAGAGCAGAGTTCCAGACTCCAAAATCTAAACTGTCCATCGCTATATTGCAAGCCTCTCTCCAGCTCCTAGACAGCGTCTTGCGTGCTGACCAGGTAAGGAAACACTGCTTCGACACTTCAGTTTGAAGCATCAGTATCTTCTCGCAGTCCCCTCCCATCCTAAAGCTCTTTGCTGACTTAATATAATGATCTATAATCCATCGTAGATGGGTTGACATAGATTGGATTAAGATATTTTGTGGAAAAAAAATTGGCTTCACGGTCAACATTGTCCACTTCAGTTTTACAAAGAGAATGTCCACGCCCTGTGATACCAGTGACCTGAGTGACGTTGGGCTGCTCCCGCCCACAGCTGGCCCTTACCTGCGGCGGTCACGTGGTGACGGGCGGCGGGAGGGCTGGAGCGCCGGTCCAGGGCGGCTCGGAGGGCTACTGTTCCCGGGATGGAAGCCAGATGGGATGACTCGGTTCAATTTTCCCAGCCCTGAAGTCCTAACAGAGAAAAAGGGAAATGAGAAGGTGAAGTAGGGTCTGTTCAGGATAACGGGTCAGCACAGCGCTGGACGGTGAGAACCATATGAGGAAAAAAATCAAAGTTTAGATGGTATTAGGGTAGGGGGCGGAATTTCCCTCTGCAACCGACAAGGTTGTTCTAGGTGCCGCACAAGCATCACATGCCCGTTACTTCCCCGAACTGTGCTGTTTTCCCTCCTCCCTTGTGTTTTCCTCTGCGATGAGCCCTGTTCCGCCTGCACCGTGCCGCCGCTAGATGGCGCCATCGCTCAATGAACGGGTTCCAGGCGCCTCCACACAGCCGCAGCTGTAGCGCTTTGGTCCATAATCCTGTTAGAGCAGCATGTAATCCAAGGACGGCACATTGTGTTCCAGGCTACGCAGCCTCATTGTGACTGGTTAGTGCACCAACATCTCGAGCATTAACCATTGATGCCCTTTCCTCCTCAACAAACACCATAGGTCCTGAAAGGAACGATTTAAACTCTCACCAATTTAAATGATTTATTTGTAAAACAAAACAAAACAAAAACTTGGGTGTAACAGTACTTGCAGAATTTGGGAGCCTCCCTCTCCCCATCACTCCTTTTTTCCTGGACTCTCCAACCATGTGCATAAATCTATTTATCAGTAATTATTTATTGTCTGGCCCTGTGCTGGGTAATTTGGGCGATATGTCCTAAAAGGAAAAAAAACTTACATTTTCAAAGATCTAGGAGCTTATTTTTATGCTAATAGATAATATTTATTGAATATTTCTATGTGCCAAACACTGGAGTAAATATCACATAGACTATCTCATTTGATTCTTACAACAAACCTGAGGCAAGTACTCTTATTATGATGCCATTTTAAGGAAGGAGAAACTGAGGAACAGAGAGATGACCTCGCCAAAGGTCACGCAGTTTGTAATGGAAGAGTTAGAATTCAACCACAGGCAGGCTAATCTCTGAGCTTGGACATTTAGCCACAATGCGATGCAGTGGGCAAGTTTGTGAAATCTAACTAGGAGATAAGTGAACAACATAAACCAGAGAACTATGTTAGGGTGGAAGGTTGAAAGAAAAACAGGGGAGGGAAAGAAAACCGATGTTCTTGAGAAAACAAGAAGAATGAGGCTAAGACAAAACTCTCTTTGGACTTGGTCCACAAGGCACCGTTAGTGACCTCTGAGAATGCAGTTTCAACAGTGACGGAGGAAGGAAGCTAGACTGCAAAGTTAAGGGGCTATGTGGAAAGAGGAAACGGAGATAACTTGCTGCAAAAGGAAGGCAATAAATACACTGGAAGTGACAGCAAGGCCAAGCAAAGGCATTTCAGTTTTCTTGTGAACTTCTTAAAATAGAATCAAGCCTGGGCATGTTTGACAGCAGCTGCAAGGGAGACCTAAGACGTGGTGGTGCAAGTCGTGAAAAGTGGACTAGGAAGAGGCGAAGGGAGGGGTCAGGGGCACAGGGGAAGGGGTTAGCTCTGGAGAGGAGGAAAGGGGTGCCCCCCTTTCTGTCTGAAACTGGGAGGCAACCACATAGATGGAGATGCATCAACGTTAAAACGAGAAAGATGAGCAAGTTCAGTTCTTGCATATTAGCCTTAATCATCTCAGTAAATCCAGAGGTGGGTTATCTGCCAAGAGTGGGATAAGACTCGCGAGGACATATTCTTATACTGGACTAATTCATGTAGCGCTTAGAATGATCAAAAAGCAGATAAAGTTAATCCAGGCAACAGAGGCAGCTGGAGAAGGGAACTCTGCACTGCGCTGTAAGGATGCTCTGCCAAATCTCACTGGGGAACCAGGACTGAAATTTACCCCCACTGCATGGACAGAAACACAACAGGTACCCTATTAATGACCGCTTATGTCTACAGTTTCTTTGTACAGTGTTCAGATTTTAAGACATTTGACAGACTAGTATTGTCTTCCTCATTTGCCAAATGAGAAAACTTAAGTGCAGACAAGTTTTCCTGTTTGGCTTAAAGCCACAAAGAAAATCAGGAGCAGAACCAGAATTGGTACCCAGGAACCTTACTGATCCAACTTGAACTTTATTAAACACTTCCCACAAAGGGCATGGACATAGCTAATGGCTCCAGAGAGTGCAGACACAGCACAAACTTGGGAAGAATCCAAACCAGGACATGATGCCCAAGAGAACTAAGATTCCCCTAATGTGGCCTTAGCACACAGCATGGTTCTTCCAGGAATTAGAGGGGAAGTGTGTCAGATAATTTGATTGCAACATATTGACTTACTGATGACATGATATTCTTCACACACCATAATTATTTAATTTTATTGTTAATGGCTCTATTTTCATTCTCAATTAACATTTCCTTATTGTCAGAAGTACACGGGGGCTGATGCAACAGAAAAATGAAAGAGGGTAATTATTTAGTCTGCATTACTGATGAAAGGGGCAACAGGCAGAACGAAATCAATCAACAATTCACTTCCGATTTAGACTCGGGGAAATAATGACAAATGACAGTCACCAGTCAAAATGGTTTCCTGTCATTGTCAGGATTTTCAGAAGACCCTCCTTCTGTGATGGTGCATTGTCTAATCAGGAGACTTGTCTAAAAGGGATGGGTTTTAGCTTCCTCCCTTTCATCTTCTTTCAGGAAGTACCCCCAGGTCAGGCCGAACCCTCTCCTGATTTTCAGTTGCAAAGAAAATCAGCTGCCTGCTCAGCTGCAAATTGGGAATACCAACTTCTCCTTCATTCATTCTTCAAATGTTTCTTGAGATCCTACTTTCAACAAGGCAGACTGCTCGTCAGGTGGCAAATGCTCAGACTGTGCCCTCCAGGAGAACTGACCAGGAGAGGAGCTGAGACATGGTCTAATGTGTCCGTAGGAATCAGTAAGTGCCACAGAGAGGAGCTGACCAAGAGCGTGGAGTCAAGGGCAGTCCATCAGGACATGCTTCCTCAAGGAAGGAGCATCTGTACCTGGGCTTCCCGGAAACAGGGTGTAGCAGGGAGAGACAGAGAAGAAAGGCATTCTAGGGGGCAGGTGCAGCACGGGGTTGGGGGCCCAGATGGATGACCCCAGATGAGCTAGGTAACCTCGTGCTCCCCAAACCCTCCACAAGCCACTTGCACCAATGGCAGAGCCCAGAGCCTTGGGAGGCTCTTCTCAAACTTCAGCCCCCGTTTGCTTCCCACTCTGCTACATATTTGGTTTGTTTTAATATAAAACAACCGTCTTTTTGTCTCAAGTCTTGAGTAAAGTAGATGCCACAGGGAGACGCACCACATTGATCCCTCAGCTTCAAATACCCGCTGGCACAGGGAAGCAGCAGCCTCCTGATGCCCAGATGGGAAGTGGACCGAAGGCTCTCCAGTTCTACAAACTCTATGAACAGAAAGCTACTCTCAGCCGTTTCCTTGTCCAACCCACTGTCTGGCTGACCTGCCTTCTGTTTTCCTGACTTGATTACTTGGCAGTCATTATTACTACCGGGATGCAAGAATAAGTTCAAGTTTGTCCATAAGTAGCCTGTGATGACCTCTGAAAATGGTTTGCTACTCACTTGACCCAGAAAACCCCACAAAATCGTGCAAATCAAGAGGTTCAAGTCACCATGTTCACTTTAAGAACATCTGTGAAACTGCCTGGACCGTCAAAGGTACACATTTCTGAAAAGCCACCGACTCTCTGAAGGATGTCCCTTTACAGGAGCAATGCATGCCACCCCATTGTTACAGTGGTGGAGCACCCAGGCCAAATAGTGGGGCCAGACGCAGGGTCAGAGGCCCCAAAAGAGTGCTGAGTTTTTGCCTCACATGCTTAAAAATACAGAGTAACCCTGAACTTAACAGGTTAGATGTTGCCTCTCTGGTCATTGAGCTCATCCAAGAACACAGCCCTCAAGATGCGCCCCCAGACTGACAGAGCTCAGAGACTGATGAACCCCCACATGAACTCCTGTGGCCACACTGAGATGATCCTTACTGAAAAAGAGCAGATTGTTGCTCAGAAGAAAAAACTATCCCAGAAGAAGCTGAAGAAACAAAAACTCATGGCCCGGGAATAAATTCCGCATAAAATAAATGCAAATAAAAGTTTTAAAAAAAAAAGTTCAAATTTAAACATCTTTTCTATCTGAGAGATGAATTACCCCCTCACCATCACCAATACCCTTACTTCCAAAAAATAATCATAAACTTACATAAACATTTTTACATAGCCAACTGGTTAAATCTATAGCAATCAACACACTGTGTTGAATTACAATGTTTCGTAGAATTGGTTGAATCTAGAAAATGTTCTGTGCTGTCTTACCTGAGCTAGGCATGGGGAATGAAGTACAGCTGGCTTCTGACTCGGAGCTCATCCTGATGAGCGACAAGTGTAACTAATCCCGGGAACATTGCTGTTCTTTAAACAAGCTTGGAGCTGACGGTAAACCACAGTTTGTCCTTGAAGATGAAACATAGAACAGATTAGCGTTTTATCACTAGAGAGAAATACATAATAAGACCTTCCTAGGCTCTCTGCCTCTGACAACTGCTAGAGATACATTTCAGGCTATGCCATTCTGCACACTTGGAAGATTCTCACATTAGTTCCTATTTCTGCAAAGGCCCGATGAGAAACCCACACGTGCTTTATTGTTGAAGAGAATTGGATCAATAGACAGAACGGTGAGAGGCCAGATCAACCCCACAGACGTGACCGTGTGTCACTTTGTCCCTGCTTTTAACTTCCCAAAGCATCCTTATGCTAGTTGTCATTCTGTCCTAGGAGGGGGGTCATTCTCATGCCTCTTTGACAAGTAGGGAAACTGAGGGGCAGGCAGAGTGAGTGGGGGACTTGCCCAAAGTCTCAAAGCTGGTTGATGGGACTGGGGTCTCGGTGTTTGGCTTCCTCTCCTGCTGTGACCAGTCAGTCATTCTGTGGAATCTGTCAGTCACCTCTAAAGGCCATTCTTATTCTCTGTGGCCTTCCTGTCTTCCATCCCTTCTACCTTTTCCCACCTGTTTTCTTCTCCACCCTCTCCCCCACCCTCCTTCTCTCCATTTTCAGTTTATTGTGGACGTTGTTTAATATGTCCCTTCCTCTTTTTTTTTTTTTTTGGTGAGGAGATCAGCCTTGTGCTAACATCTGCCAACCCTCCTCTTTTTTTTGCTGAGGAAGACTGGCCCTGGGCTAACATCCATGCCCATCTTCCTCGACTT